TCCGGGTTAACAACAGACCGCTATCGTGATAGACATCACCTAAATGACATTTGAGTTGCCCGTCTGACACGACACGACTGAAATGTCATTTGAAAATCCCAAAGGCCTTTAGCGTAAATGACATTCAAGGTGCCCGTCTGACAGGGGTGGCAAAGTGTATCACCTCGCGCTGCTTGTTCGGATTCCGAAAACCCTGCACAATTAACGCCAAAATGTGTAGGCCCATGAAAAAAAAAAAAAAAAAAGAAAAAGAAAAACATAATAGACAGTCGATTAGAATTTCAGTCATTCCGCGTAGTCAAAATTGTCCGCGCCGAGCCGCTTCTTTTTAGCTGACGAGGCGGGAGACGCATAGAGTTATTATAATGCACGCTAGAGGTTCAACTGGCGCTAGTGTGCTGCTGCAAATTGAAGCAGACAGCAACCAGTCGGAAATTGACTTCCGGTAATGCTTTTCTATGGGAAAAAGCGAGTGCATTTTCTCGCTGCGCTCGATTACAAGAGCAAATATCACAAATATTCCGTACGTACTAGGCACATTGGAACATTTCTCAGTCACACAGATGAAATAATTGGTCAGTTACGGCGTTTTTATTTGAAATTCGTGGAATGAAAAACGGTGCTAAAACAGTTTCGTACATGTATTTGTGTGCACTGTCGGACACTGCTAGCGCGAACACGGCGTCGGCGCTTTCCGCCAAGGGGGATATACGTGTCAAACGAACGAAGGACATGTGGAAAACCAAGAGAGACGGCAAAAACTACGCAGTAACACTGGATAAGTAACTCCTCGTGCATGCAGGCGATAAAAATAAATTGAAAACCACGTAATATAGTTCGATTTGCAATAAATAAGTTATTCTTTCTGCTCGTGATAATGTGGGAAGATGCATCGTTCTGGGTTCAAATCATCAACCGCACGCTTCAAATCTTTACAAGTAGGGAGAAGTCAGAGAACAGGTGCCCGATAAAAACTGCCTGAGATATGAAATAATAAAAAGACACACCTTTCGTAGCCCACGTACTTTATTTTTTACATTCGAATGGTCTTTAACCGATCGTAAAGATGCACGACGGAGTCATATTCATAGAATGACAGGACGGGCATATTAGCAATATATAAGCGCCACCGGAATGCTAGCGAACCTTGAACACACTCTACATTCCTTTCGATCGTTATTTAGCTCAGAAGCGTAGCTTGTTTTTACATACCTGCCATGGAACAGAGGTTTGGGCCTGAAATATAGCAAAGCGTAACATCGTTCAATAGTAAAGAAAAATGCTGTAATTAAAGCAATTACACTTTTACAATATTAGTAAAGGTACATACTATCCGGTACAACCGAAGTAATAAAAGTTATTCATGTTATTTTCCGGCGAAGAGACAAAATTCACGCGCGTTTTCCCATAGGAATGCACAGGAGCACCGCAAAAGTAGACTGGTTGCTGTCTGCTTCAATTTGCCTCCCGGAAGTCGCATAGACACTAGCGCCAGTTGAACCTCTAGCGTACATTATAATAACTCTATGGGGAGACGCGTCCGAGCTCCGAGCCGTCCGAGCCGCCGCTAGCAGGCGAGAGAACGCGTTTGGCATCGGAGCGGTCGTCTGGCACTCTGCGGACGCGTCGAAGCGGTCGAAGCCTCTGGCCTCTGGCGTGGGTGGAGGATGTCCCTGGCCTGGGGTCACGTCGCCTTCCTCAGCGATGAAAAGGCGGTCGGAATCGTCGCTCAGATCTTCGGAATCAATACTGTGAGAGTCGAGGGTGGCGGCCGCATTCGACGAATCGTCTGAGGTTTAGCTGTCGGGTTAAACGGCCACGTTCGATGGAACGCGCGAGGCTTGGCTGCCGGCTGCGTTCAATGAAACGTGCGACGCTTGGCTGCCGGGGATGGCATCCGCGTTCCACGGAATGTCCGAAGTTTGGCCGCCGGTAGGGGCGGCCGCGTTCGATGGAACGCCCGAAGCTTGGCTGTCGGAAATTCCGGCGTTCGACGAAGCGTCAGAATCCGAGACAACAGGGGGAGGTGGTGGGGTCCGCGGGCGGATGGACGGGTCCGACTCGTCACCGGAAAGCTGGGGGCTGGGACGGAGACTGGGCCGACAACTCGCTGCGAAGGGCGTGGACGGTCCTCCCGGGGTGGCTGGGCGGCAGCGGCGTACGACTTTCGCTGGACGCAGTCCGTGGTCGCGTGGCTGTGGCCGCACCGCTGGCAAGGAGCCGTGCGACCTGCCGTCGCATGCCCAAAAACGCCGCATCTGTCGCAACGTGGGGTATTGCAGGCGGGTCCGATGTGGCCTTCCAGCCCGCACCGGCTGCAGACGCGTCGCAGACCACGGTAGTTCACCATCACCCGGTGTTCCAGGATGTGGACGAAGTTTGGGACCGGCTTTGACATCTCCATCTTGACCACCCGGGTGCCGGTCCTGACGTCCGGGCGGTCTCGAAACGTGGCGTGGTTGATCGCCTTCACCTTGCCGTACTATGCGAGGACTTGCACCAGTGCCTCCTCCGACACTTACGGGGGAAGGCGGTACACCGAGACAAACACAACGTGGGCTCCCACTGGCTCCAGAGGGACTTCCACGTTACCCAGCGACAAGAACCCTTGCGCTACAAGCCGTTGATCGGCGGCCATGGTGTTGACCTCGGCCATGAACCTTGCTCCACCGTGGTGTTGCAGGTACGACAGACCATCCCCGCCGGCGACGGCTTGAATGCTGTCCGTGATAGCATCTACCGGAGTGTCCGCCGGAACATTAAAAGAGAAACACTGCAGTGCCTTCGTAGGCGTCGACATGGCGGAGGCTTCGAACCCCGGGGACCACAAATAAATTGAGGTCCCTGGGCGCGTGCACAACGGGAGACGCTTCACACGAACGAGCGACCGCAACTCGATGACAAGGCAACCCAGGGATGCCGACCCCGTGTCCCCAGCGGGCGCGCCGCAAAATTGCCCTTGACGGAACGTGACCTGAAATCGCCACTGAGGCATGGTTGTATGAAAACAATATTAATTGTACTGCAAAACCTTGCAAACTAAAGATTTTAGAGAACATCACGCGCCCCCCATTTTGTGCTAAACTCCAATAAAAGTTACTACAAAAAGTTTTTTTCCGTTGGTTTTCACGTTTCTAGTAACGTTGAAACGTACGTATCCTGATTCAGTTACCAAAGCAGCCGTCTGGCGGCGCGTCGAGCGACTCTTGCGCTTGGCGAGTCGTGGTGAATGAGGGGGGGTACTGTTCGTGTATGCGGCGCCTATGCGCCGCATACACGAACCATCCAGGGGGGACAGAGCCCCCCCCCCCCCCCTCCCCGGATGGTTCGTGTATGCGAATCCTATCCAGGGGGGGGGGGGGGCTCTGCCCCCCCCTGGATCTCACCAGGGAAGAAGCGCGAGCCCCGATGCCCCCCCCCCCCCCCCCCCCCCCCGTGGTCTACGCCTATGATGGCGGGTATGTCGACGGGTCATTTCTTGTTTCCGTACTTTATAAACTGCATTTGTTTCTTTTCTGATCTAAAATAGTGAACAAAATATGCTTTCATAAATAATTGAAACGCCACTTATATTTTGTATTTTGGCTAAAAAGAAGCTTTTAGCGGCTCTGACCAGTAGTAAGCCCAGGACTAAAGACGTCACAAATCGTGCGTTTTCGGTACCACGGGTCGCCCCCGTCGGTGGAGGAGGTTTCCGCGTCGTCCGGATAAAATATGACACACTGATATTTAGTTACTCTCTCCGTGCCCGCTGGCTTGCCCGAACCCCAAGAGACGTGGAAACCGCAAAAAAGATTGCAGGGTACCTTTAACATTGATATTTAGATTTTTGTGACCGAAAAACGTCACAAAAATCTTTCTATAGCGTCCAGACGGAACGCTAAAGAGAGAAGGAGGTTTCCCTCTCTCTTCTCCAGCGTTCCGTCTGCTTCCTCCTCCCCGGCCCGTCTTACTCTCGCCCTTCGTTCTTAGGTTGCAACGGACTATAGCTTGTCACATGCAGCTGGAATTTGCTGAAACAATACAATGACTGATGTTTTTGACAGATTTTTTATTTGCCTCGTCATTGCTTTGCAGATGTGGGGAGCAGTCTCACGGTTCTGACCTCTAGCATAAAGACTAGCCCTTCAACCAGAGTTCATGGTAAGTTTTGATAGTGTGCATTGTTTAGGACAGTCTTTGAAGATTACTTTGTTGCGTAGTACTTGACCAGCCATAGTTGGTTCAGCTTTTTGCAACCACTCTGTCACTTTGTTTCCTTTGTTTTGTTTCTTGTAGTGGATCACACATACGAGATGCAAGGCGCGATGGATGGACATGGTCTGCCGTCTGGAAGAAACGATGTGTGGGCGCCCGAACCTTCCCCTACCGATTATGACGCGTCCATGACTTCGACTTCTCCAGTTTCTCACCAACGTAGGTGTCTGTCATGTTGCACAAAGTTTACTTTTACTTCCATATTTTCTACATTGGAGGCCCACATTGTTTCTTTCATTGTTTTTCGAAACGTTTCATAATTGCTTTTGCTTTCTCCTTGCAGGGTCCTGTGCCACCGGCACCGAGGGCAAGGGGAAGATGGACGTGTCGAGGGCCAATTTTCGACAGCTTCGGAAACATAACAAGAGACTCCAGCAACAACTGCAGCGACGGCGTCATATATGCTGACTGTCACTGAGATAGTTGAAAGTGTACGTAGCCTTGTGTCTCCAGCCGTTGCTGCCCTTGTGGAAGCTGAGCTGAAGATGACCAATGCAAGCAGGTTCGGCAGGAGGTGGTGCAGCCAGAACAAAGCCTTTTCCTTGGGCTTGTACTTTCACAGCCCCAAGGGTTACCGGTACTGTAGGCAATTGTTGAGGCTCCCACCCGCTAGGTCGTTACAGCTTTGGCTTCAGCGTCTTCCCCTGAGGGTTGGTTTTTACCCAGAAGTTTTTGAACTTGTCAAAAGACGTGCAGCTTCTTTTTCACCAGAAGACAAGTCATGTATTATTGTCTCTGACGAGATGCACGTCACGAAAGAGCTCTCGTACAACCCCTCTGTGGACAGGTTTGAAGGGCTCGAAGAAAGTAACACTGGAAGAGGCCATAACCTTGCAAACAAAGCTCTTGTGTTTATGGCTAAAGGCATTCGCACGCCATGGAAGCAGCCACTTGGCTATTTTTTTGCTCATGGCGGAACCCCTGCCAACATTTTGCGAGCCCTCCTTTTTCAGTGCCACAATTTGCTTGTGAAAGCCGGCCTGGAGGCAGTAACTGTGAATAAGAAGTCACTTTTTTTTCTATTTGATGTTCCACATCTGCTGAAGTGCTTACGAAATATGCTCTTCAAGTACAATTTTCAAGTTGGGGGCCACACGTTGATAAGCTCTTTCCTTAGGGAAGCCTACGAAAAAGACAAACAGCTTGAAATCCGATCCATTCCAAAGCTCAGCGAAAAGCATTTTAATTTGACTTTTGCCTCCAAGATGTCAGTGAAGCTAGCAGCGCAAATATTCAGTAATCACTGTGCTGCTGCAATGTTTGCCATGGTAACTTTCCAGCAACTGCCAGTTGAAGCTATCCACACGGCCCGGTTTATTGAAAAAATGGATTGTCTTTTTGATAGCTTGAGCAGCTCACAGAAACGCGGGAAGAGTGCATATGTGTCTGCAAGGCACGAAGGCTCTGTTCACAAAGAGTTTATGAAAGAATGCCTTCTTAAGTTCGAAAGCCTTAACGTTCTTGGGTGCCCACGGCAGCCTGCTTGCACTCGCGGTTTCTTCTTGACCATTCGGTCTATTATGCTGATTTGTGAGCGCCTGACATCTGAGTATGGTTTCAGATACCTTCTGACTCGCCATCTCAACCAAGATGCACTCGAAAACAGATTCTCCGTGATAAGGTCAAAGTCTGGTGCAAACGCCAATTCCTCTTGCCGGCAGTTTCAGGCAGCCTTTAGGCATCTCCTAGTTAGCAACTTGTTTAAACTGTCCGACAAGAGCAACTGCGAAGAGGACATGGCAACTCTTTTAGCGGCTCTTCCGGTTGGTCTCTCAGCTCCCTCACCTTCACTTAGTCTAGGAAGCTCACTTCCACAATGTGCAGCTGACCACACATCCTGTAGTTATCCCTTTTTATTATCATTTAACAACATAGTTTACTTTGCTCGATGGCTTGTAACAAGGTTTGTAAAGTTTCATACATGTCAAAACGTGACTCAGCAATGTGAATTGCAAATCAAGAATGCCACTTTTTCTGATGAGAGCCAAGTGTTGTTGTATTTGAGTGTGAAAGGAACGGCTGAAGGAGACTTTGGAAGCCTCTCAGTCCCTTCACCTTGCTTCGTTTCCTTTGTTCAAGCTTGTGAGAAGGTTTTTGTGGCGTCAGTTGACAATCTTGGTTTAAAAGAAGGCGTTGGGAAGGCGTGGTGTATCACTCTTCATGAGAAGGTCGAAAAGCTGCTGACTCTCTGCAGCGAGGATGTCTATGATGATTTATTTGCTTTGTTTGCAAGTGTGAGGCTTCATTGGTTTGCCCGTAAAAAAAATACTGATGCAGCTGTGAGACGCAAAACCAAGCAACAAGTCCAGAGGCTGTGCAGATGAGGCAACACGTGCGTTATGTCCACAGTAAGTCCCTTTAGTTTGTCTTACGTGTTGCATTCAATGATCGTGCTGGCATACCGGATTGTGCGAGTGCATACCTCTAAATTATCACACGCTTTGCCGAAACTGTCTCCTGCGATGACCAAATGAATCTAGCATACTTTAATTAAAGTGTAAAAGTTCGTTTCGCATGTTTGGGCACTGCAATTAACGTATAGGTTCATCTAGATGAACTTGAGTTTTCAATGAATCAATCATCAAAATTTCAGTGTCACAGCATGCAAAACTGATTTTTTCATTCTATTTAAAATATGTTAGATTCATTCGACCCTCGCTGTATAGTGCTAGATGACGTTCCTCACTTGAATGATGGGACAGTGTGTCTACGAAACCACTTATTCCAAATTCCCCAATTTTCCGAAGGTTTTCCTGACTATTCCGATAAAATGTTCACTGTTACTTCTGTTCAGGGAGTGTTTAATGGCCTGCGCTACCTAGTGACGTGTCGGGCAACGTTATTCAGTGCAGCGGCACCAACGTGCAATCCTTGTGCAATCATCGGGCTTCGTTACCCCTCGGGCACTTGATGGACCTATACGTCGTATAGACGCCGTATCTTTTCTTTTCGCATATCATTTTTACTAACTAGGAACTTTCGTACGGTTTCCCTTATATTACCCTGTTCTTTCAATATAATCCGCATTACTTGATAATTTTAAGTTTTCCAGGTTGGTAGACACCCTACACACCCTGTGCATGATTGAAGAGCGTGTGAGAACGAGCGTTGACCTCGATGTTTTCTTGTGCAGTGTGACGACTTGAAACATAAACCTAGATTAATGTTCGGTTGTGTGAGGTATACAAAAGTATATCAAACTGCGATGAAAATCAAATCAGTGAGTCAGTATGGTGCTAACAATTTGCCACAGAGCAAATTAATAACCTTTTTCTAATGCTTTTTTTCCTGTCAATTTGTGGCAGTTTCCTGCGTACTAACGCTCACATAGACAGCCAAGCTGTGGAGCACATTATGTTTGTGGCGAGCGCATGTACTATAACGAAAGGTCTCAATTTTCAATCTCTTGAAGCATTAATTCATGTGGACATTCAAATGCACAATACATGCATAGCCCCGCACTTCCACCTGTGATTGATATAGTTAAATCTAATTACGAGCTCTTAACGTGAACAGTGCAAGATAAATGCGTAAACGTGCCTCCTGTTGAGAGAATTAAGTGCGTGCATAGAGCTGTCCAGACTGCATTTCACTTCGTTTTTAACGCCACATCTATCTTCAAGTATTCAGTGGTGGTGTTGTAAGTTTGTATATAATAAACTGTGTAAACCAAGCTCGTGCCTTTTTGCCTTACTTGGCGAACAAGCCATTGCTACAATAATAAGTATGCCTTCATAGGCGTGCTGTAACACACTGCTTAGTTGAAGAAGATAGTAACCTATTGGTGGTTCCCAGAACTGATAAAAAAAACTGGTTCTTTTGGAAGAGGGATTATATGGGAGTGATTGATACAAACAGGGCTATTACGCGTGAAGCAAGGTATGAAGGACGGTAGCAGGCATGTAAAACATCTGAAAAAAAAAAACATTTACATTTCGCGCCACCGCCGAAAATCATTTAAATTTCACACCAAAAACAATCGTGACGTCACAATGTTGAGGAAATTGCGTCATATCGTGTTTTTTTTTTTTTTTAATAAAGCGTCACTTCCTGTACGTCACAGGCGAGCAGGACTACTGACAATGCCGCACAACTCACAGATGGCGCTACGCCCCATGAGCCGCCATCTTTGCGCCTATGGGCTTCTATGGAAGCTTCGCTACCATTTATACATATACCTTGTGGCATGTTTGACACTTTCGATCACGCAACCACACCTAACATCTTTTAACAGCCATTACATCTATCGTCGTCTCTTAGAAACGCGCAATGCAGTTTATTAAAAAAAGCTACAATAACAATTGCCAGGGACCTTTCAGGCATCCCTCCATCTAGTGGTGTTGAAAGTATTCAGGAGATTGGGCTAGCTGGGGGCTCTTTTTTTCTAACAATTATTGTTTACTAGAAATGTCTGATCTTCCTGCCCCTCCCCTTTCCCCGTTTCTACGCCACTGCCCCCATCATCTACGAGCACAAGAAAATACCAGTCGAACATCTTCCACCAGCTCGTTTCTTTCCCTATTCTTTCACCAATAAAAATGTTGAACGCTACAAAAAGAAAAACAAAATTGCCAGGATTTTTTTTTGGTGGGGGGGGGGGGGGGGCGGGTATTTGGGCTTATGCGCTTTAGCTGTCCCCCCGCCCCCCCCCCCCCCCCTTTTCCATGCGCACACACAGACACATTCACACACACACACTAATCGCCCATGTCCTTTTCTCCAAGATCCCCGAGGCGCCGTACCGTTTAATCTCAAGGGCGCCACCCAATGCTAATTAATTAGTTTAAAGAATAAAGACAAAAAAAGTGAAAGCCGCTTACAACTCCCTGTAACGCCGAATTAGAGCGCAGCTCTTGAGGAGGAGGAGGGAAGGGTACTGGGGGGGGTGAAGTGAACCTGGGGGGTCACGTGACCTTGGGGGATCACGTGACCTTGAGGGGTCACGTGACGATGCCGATGATGTCATTAGTGACGTCCCTGATGACGTCATCAGTGACGATGACGATGCGGACTCTGATGACGTCATCAGCGATGATGACGATGACGATGCAGATGTCGGTGACGTCATCAGCGATGACGATGACGATGCGGATGCCGGTGAGGTCATCAGTGACGTCACTGATGACGTCATCAGTGATGATGACGATGACGATGCGGATGCCGGTGACGTCATCTGGGAGGTCACGTGACCTCGGCGGGGGTCACGTGACCCTGGGGGTGGTCACGTGACCTCGGGGGGTGTCACGTGACTTCGAGGGGTCACGTGACCTCAGGGGTCACGTGACCTCAGGATGGGTCACGTGACCTCGGGGGTCACGTGACCTCAGGGGGTCACGTGACCTCGGGGTGTGTCACGTGACCCCAGGAGGTCACGTGACCTCGAGGGTCACGTGACCTCTGGGGAGGGGTCACGTGACCTTGGGGGTCATGTGACCTTTGGATGACCTTGGGGGTCGCGTGACCTTGGGGTGACCTTGGGGGTCGTGTGACCTTGGAGTGACCTTGGTTACGCCGACGCCGACGGCGACGCCGACGGCGACGGCGACGCCGCTCAAGCCGGGAACGGGCCCCTAAGAGCTGCGCTCTAAAACATTCGTTTGAAATTATTTTAATTCTGAAACATAGGCCTCCGCTCAATTAAACACGGTAGAACTACTAATATTTCCGTAGACTCGTCGAGGCTGCCAACACGCCAAAGTCACAACAAAAAGCCGTGAACTTCTAAACTACTGTGCTCAAAGTTTCCCGCGACAAAAACCCGCCAGACGCAGGGTGCGGATAAGGAAAATCTGTCCCTATATTCGCGCTCCGAGTGCGGATACTGGTGGATGCAAATCCGCACTCCGAGTGTGGATAGTGGTGGATTCTAATCCGCACTCCTAGTGCGGATAGTGGTGAATTCTAATCCGCACTCCGAGTGCGTATAGTGGTGGATTCAAATCCGCAGCCCGAGTGCGAATAATTTTGGATTCTTATTCGCACTCCAAGTACCGATTGAGATGCGTGCGGAGGCGCGGACACTATTGGAGGTGCCTGCGCGTGTGGCGGAGGAAGTGTGTGAAGTTTTACTATGTTCCTTAGCTGCGTTGAGTGCGTTTCCTATCACGCACTTGTGCGCTGCAAAGAAGCGACATCCGCAGGCGACAGCTCGATTCTGTGTATCGCTTCGCCGCAGCGCGGACGAGTGCGTAGGGAAAGAAGACTTCTCCACAGCGGGATGCTGCACTCACACTCCTCAAAAATGTGGACAAAGAGAGAAAAAAAAAAACAAAAAAACTTACTTCGTAAAATGCTGTTGTGACGTCTCTTCATTGTAGTACAATTTTCAAATTTGAATCGCGGCTAGTATGCAAAGAAATATGGTAGACTCTGGTACCTTTACGTATTGCGTATGTCGTCCGACATTATACTTTTTTTTCTAAATTAAAGATTTACAGGAGGTCATTCAAGTATAGCCGCATATAGGCAATTGTGTGGGGATTTGTATTTCTATATGAGATTTGTAACGATTAATCTTCTTTAGATATGGCTAGAATGCACCAACTTGTTCGGGAAGACAGTCAATAAAGTTAATAGTAATACTAAATTAGCTTTTGCAGTGGACGAATGGAAACTTGGGGGAAAAAAACAAATCAATTCTTAAGTGGGTATCTTAATTGCCGACACGATTTTACATCAAAACTTCATCTAAAATTCCATCGATGTTCATAATTAAAAAGCAAAGGCTTTTAAATTCAGATTTTCACAGTTTTATTGTAACCTTAACACACAAAAGTGGGAAAGCAAATACAACATTGCCTTTTATCTGGACAGTTCAATGCATGCCCCAAAAACGAACTTCTGGCCGCTCCGAAGGGGCTCCTAAATTACTCCATCCAGTCACATTATTGATGATGTTATTTTTATCTCAGCCTCTATTCAGACGTTTTCATTAAGACAATGTCCAATTTCTTTTATGCAGAAGCGTTATGCCCGTAGGCTGATAAAACACCAGAACGTACAGCAATTAGAAAGACAGTTTTCTCACAGGAACGCACTTTCCTCTCGTTACCGTGTGTGTTATCTGCCTGCGACATGTTCGACCATTTTAACTTGCTTTGTTGAAGAAAAATATTTTGTGGTCGCCCCAAGAGAAAAAAACAAACAAACAAACAAACTACAATATTAAATTGTACAAACAAGAAAAAAAAAACAACGATATTTTTTGTTTAGACACGTTTTGATAAGATAACGCGTCTTTAATGCACATACAAATATCTTCAAGGGACCTATGGAATGATTTTTCAAAGTCCTCCTTTAGTCCTCAATTTAAAGGCGAAATGGGAAATCACGTGGTCATGACGTGCTCAGGCACAGGATGCGGTGACTCCAAGCTTCCACTACGGAACTTGTCATCGCAAGTGATACGTGCCGTCACGGCACTCGATGGCCACGAAGGCGAATCCAAATGTTCGTTGACAGATTGATTGTTGTTCAG